TTCTCTTTTTTTCCTGGGACTTTGATCCATTTTCTTGTCCTCCTTTTCCTTTTCTTTCTGCAATGATGAGCTCCCTACCTTTGAGAGGAGAGCTTCCTCACCATTTATATACTTCTCTACCTTAGCCAGCACCTCGGCCATGTTTGCTTGAGGATTCTTGGATATAGAGAGCATCAAGTCTTTTGACTGTACTCCTAAACTAGCTATGAAGGCAGTAATGACAAATTTTTCATCTGGGACGTCTACCTTTAGGGATTCTGAGTTGAACCTTTGGACATAAGACCTTAGGCTTTCTTGAGATCCCTGTTTCACATTCAACAAGTGGTAGCTCAATTTTTTGTATGTCCGAGCTCCTATGAAATGGGACACGAAAGAAATAGAGTGCTCCTTAAAGGAGGAAATTGAGGCTGGAGGGAGCCTATTGAACTATGCCAAGGCTGACCCCTTTAGTGTGATGGCGAAGGCGCGACAGCGCACTGGATCTTGGTATCCCTGTATCTCCATCTGATTTTAATATGTATTGAGGTGGTCCATGGGGTCCCTGGTTCCTTCAAAAGCTTTTACCTACGACATTCAAAATTTCAGTGGGAGGAGAAAGTGCAATACCCCAGGAGTAAATGGTGACTCGGTTTGTTGCACCAAGGCATCCATGGTTACTGGTGTTTTACTCCTTACGGCCTCCTTCATGTGGCTGAGCTCCTGTTGAATATCTCTGATGCGCTGCTTCCAGTATTGGTCTCTTCATTCCTACTGGACCGGGCGAAAATTATTTCTCTCATTCTCATTACTTTGGCTCTACACCTCTTCATTGTCTCCGGTCCTCAGAGGCGGTTGAGGAGCCTGGCTTTTTTCTCCTCCTTCATTAGTTTCCCTAGGGGGTCGAGGTGTTGCTACTCCTTGTGAGGGGGATCATTCTGGCCTCTCGGGGCTGGATGTATCTCCTGTGGCCATTACAAAAGTTTCAGGAGTTTTTCATTCTGCTGCAGCAGATGTTGGTTGACTACACGAAGGCCCTCCAACTCGTTGTTCGTGGGAGGATTCACCATAGGAGGATTAACCTCGGCGACGAGAAAAAAATCTTGAGGATCTACGTGTTGTCTGCCGCTAGTAACCTCCTGCTGATTCTGCCCCTGTGGGGGATTCATTTGGCTTTTGCTCATGTTGCGAGTTGAGACCACCAGTTACTGAAGGATTAGTATACTTGTAATGAGAACAATCGTTCCCACAGACGACGCCAAACTGATGGTGTTTATTTAATTGAATGAGCAATATGTATGATTATATAAACAAATTCAGTTCTGAGCTATTGAGCTTCTATGATAATAAAAATAGAGATTGGGTAGGGAATAGGTGTCTTGCACGATAGAAATATAGTGGTTCACCAGCTCGAAAGCTTGGCTAATCTACTTTCTAATGGAGTCTCTTCCTCCTTGGCTCTTTATTAATGCTTGATTCAGATTACAGAGAGAATTCGATAGCTCTAGGGTTTTTTTTTCTCTTTTTTCTTTAGTGGAGGCATTGTACAGTATTTATAACCTTGTTTATATTTCTAAGGGATCTTCAGCGAAATTCTTGCCCTTTGTTCGGGGGATCTCCTTGATTTTTAGAGAGAATTTTGGTTAGTTGAGAGTCTATGCCTTGATTATAACCTTCTATTTTCTAGGGAGCGCCAACTATCTCCTTCCTGATTTTCCTCCTGATAGCTCTGTGGGGAACTCAAGAATTCGACTTCCGAGCTCTAGTCATTCCGCCTGACCTCCTTACATGAGGTCATACTTGGAGTTTTCTTGTGGGTATCGTCAGCTACAAAATAGGGAATTGTAGATAGACAAAATATTCCACCATTGGATAATAGTGAGAACTCAACAGCATTGATGTGATATGACCTCACAGGAAAAAAGCTTGTTCAAAAGAAGAAAAAAAAAGGCCTAACAAGAAAAAAGAGTGCTAAACACTACCAGGTCAACGTAAAAAAAAAAAACCAATACCAGATAAACGTAAGCTTAGCTCATGAAATCGAAGTATCCAACAACTCTTTCAAATCAATCAAAAAAAAAAAANTTAGTGTGATGGCGAAGGCGCGACAGCGCACTGGATCTTGGTATCCCTGTATCTCCATCTGATTTTAATATGTATTGAGGTGGTCCATGGGGTCCCTGGTTCCTTCAAAAGCTTTTACCTACGACATTCAAAATTTCAGTGGGAGGAGAAAGTGCAATACCCCAGGAGTAAATGGTGACTCGGTTTGTTGCACCAAGGCATCCATGGTTACTGGTGTTTTACTCCTTACGGCCTCCTTCATGTGGCTGAGCTCCTGTTGAATATCTCTGATGCGCTGCTTCCAGTATTGGTCTCTTCATTCCTACTGGACCGGGCGAAAATTATTTCTCTCATTCTCATTACTTTGGCTCTACACCTCTTCATTGTCTCCGGTCCTCAGAGGCGGTTGAGGAGCCTGGCTTTTTTCTCCTCCTTCATTAGTTTCCCTAGGGGGTCGAGGTGTTGCTACTCCTTGTGAGGGGGATCATTCTGGCCTCTCGGGGCTGGATGTATCTCCTGTGGCCATTACAAAAGTTTCAGGAGTTTTTCATTCTGCTGCAGCAGATGTTGGTTGACTACACGAAGGCCCTCCAACTCGTTGTTCGTGGGAGGATTCACCATAGGAGGATTAACCTCGGCGACGAGAAAAAAATCTTGAGGATCTACGTGTTGTCTGCCGCTAGTAACCTCCTGCTGATTCTGCCCCTGTGGGGGATTCATTTGGCTTTTGCTCATGTTGCGAGTTGAGACCACCAGTTACTGAAGGATTAGTATACTTGTAATGAGAACAATCGTTCCCACAGACGACGCCAAACTGATGGTGTTTATTTAATTGAATGAGCAATATGTATGATTATATAAACAAATTCAGTTCTGAGCTATTGAGCTTCTATGATAATAAAAATAGAGATTGGGTAGGGAATAGGTGTCTTGCACGATAGAAATATAGTGGTTCACCAGCTCGAAAGCTTGGCTAATCTACTTTCTAATGGAGTCTCTTCCTCCTTGGCTCTTTATTAATGCTTGATTCAGATTACAGAGAGAATTCGATAGCTCTAGGGTTTTTTTTTCTCTTTTTTCTTTAGTGGAGGCATTGTACAGTATTTATAACCTTGTTTATATTTCTAAGGGATCTTCAGCGAAATTCTTGCCCTTTGTTCGGGGGATCTCCTTGATTTTTAGAGAGAATTTTGGTTAGTTGAGAGTCTATGCCTTGATTATAACCTTCTATTTTCTAGGGAGCGCCAACTATCTCCTTCCTGATTTTCCTCCTGATAGCTCTGTGGGGAACTCAAGAATTCGACTTCCGAGCTCTAGTCATTCCGCCTGACCTCCTTACATGAGGTCATACTTGGAGTTTTCTTGTGGGTATCGTCAGCTACAAAATAGGGAATTGTAGATAGACAAAATATTCCACCATTGGATAATAGTGAGAACTCAACAGCATTGATGTGATATGACCTCACAGGAAAAAAGCTTGTTCAAAAGAAGAAAAAAAAAGGCCTAACAAGAAAAAAGAGTGCTAAACACTACCAGGTCAACGTAAAAAAAAAAAACCAATACCAGATAAACGTAAGCTTAGCTCATGAAATCGAAGTATCCAACAACTCTTTCAAATCAATCAAAAAAAAAAAAACTCTTTAAGTAAAAAAATTACTTTTGACAACCAAGTTCTACTCATTTCATAGCCAAAAAAAAAAAAAGTTCTTCTCATTCACACCATTAAAGTTTTAAAGGTGTTCCAACGTGAGTATTCATATCCTAGAGTGGCATCGACAAGAACATTAATTCTAGGCAATGGGAAGAAATCCTTGGGGCATGTCTTATTTAGGTAAGTGAAATCCACACACATGTGCCACTTTTTGTTGATTTTCTTCACTTGAACCACATTGGCAAGCCATTCTGGATACTGGACTTCCCTTATTGAACTCGCTTCGAGGAGGTTGACTACCTCTTCCCTGATTGCTTTATTTCACTACAAAGCAAAATTTCTACGCTTCTTCCTCACTTGTTTAGAGGTGAAATTAAATTCAATCTATGCTCCACAATTAATGGATCAATCCTTTGGATATCTAAGTGCTTCTAGGCGAAGACATCTCTGTTGGAGTGCAAGAACTCCACGAGTAATTGCTTCATATCTTTTTCGAGGATTTTCCCTACAAAGGTGGTTTGATCGAGTTGTTCTCCAATATGGGTTGAGTCCAACTCATCAACATGTTGGGGGTACTTGTCCTTGTCTCTATGGTCTAATGACTATTTGTACGGTTTCTTGACACTATTTCTCCCTCGTGGATGTCACATAGCACTCTTGGGCTACCACTTGATTACCTCGTACTTCACCACCCTCATCAAATTAAGGCTTGGGCATCCTAGAATGACATTGTAAGCTGAAGTGCAATGAAGCACAAGGAAGTTAATCATAACCGTGGTTTGCTAAGGGCTCGTTCGGTTGTTACTAGAATAACAATGGCCCCCAAGGGATAGGCCTTTTCTCCTAAAGAGCTAACCAGTAGAGTAGTGACAAGCACTAATTTTTCTCTACCTATGATGTCAATCGAGCTCCCGCCATCTATAAGGACTCTTCTTATAGTGTAATTAGTGATAATCAAAGTCAAGACCGAGAGATCATCAGGTGCGGTACTTGACCTCTTTGAGATCATCATCAGTAAACGTGATTGGTTGGCCCATTTTGTTGCGCATCTGCCCTTTCTTGGCATTTATGTTCAATAAACCTGATAAGGTGCCCTTTTCTGGGTAAGTTCCTCTATCTAATCCTTAATGACTAAATAGTCTTCGATGTTTGTGACCTTGGTTATGATCGAAAATGAAGTACTTGTCCCTGTTTCTTCTATTTGGGTTGGTACAAATGTTTGGTGACCATTTTAGGACTCGGATGTCTTGGACCTAGAAAAGAACTTGTTGAAGAGGGGTTTTGAGTAGTTAGCGCTCATCCTCTCCACTCAGTTCTTCTTTGGGCTATTAGCTTTGTCGTTTTTGCTTTGTTGCTCACATTTCTTTATTTCCTCTTGTCTGTCCTCCTGGCCTCTATGTGCAAGGAGGGTATCCTCTGTGTTCATATTAATTTGCACTCTTGAGAGTAGCTCTGTCTTGTTAAAAAATGGATCCTTTAATAATGGGAATAGGAGCTGGGAAAGCTGGAATCCCCCCATGAAGGCAATGAACCTATTGACGAAGCATCTAAGAGACAAATTTCTTGTCTGCTTCACATTTAGAAGATAAGTGGGGGCTTCTTCTATACCCTCTTTTCTAATGAAATGGGAGATGAAAGAAGTACTAAGCTCTACAAAAGAGCTAATTGAATTGGGCTTCAACTTGTTGAACTAATGCCTGATAGTTCCCTTTAGGGTGGTTCCAAAGGCCCTACACATATTTTGATGAAGGACGCTGTGAAGCATTATAAGAGACTTGCATGTCTAAAGATGGGCAAGCGGATCCCTAAGTTCATCAAAACTTTCGTTCATCGGCATCTTGAAACTTAATGCATGTTAGAGGATAATTTGCAACAGCGGGAGCAAAGGGTGACTCCTTGTGTTGGACTACTAAGACCTCCAGCACTTTTGGAACCCTAGCCTTTACAGTGTTGATCACGTTACCAAGTTTATCATTGACCTCCTAGAACTTTTGCTCCCATTAGTCGTTTACCTAGGGGCGAGATACCTCGTTTTGGCTTTGTACCTCATTTCATAGGTTCTCATCTTGATGCTCCTAGTTCTAAGATAAGTAGGGATGTCAATTTTATCCATTAACATGAACTTGATATGAATCTGACAGATATAAAACTCGAAAATAACTCGATTAGTTTACATGAGTAATAAATGGGTTAAATTAAAGTTCGACAAAAATAACACAATTATCAGGTACTGTAGACAAAAAATAAGTATTTAATGAGTATTGGAGATATAAAATAAGAATTTTTCAAATTTTTTTATTTTTTTCATAGTATTATATGAGTTGTTGTGAAATTAAATAATTTTTTATTGACACAAACCCGACATATACTGAAAGTAATCCAGCATGAAAATAACACGACCAAAAGTGACACGACATGAAAATGATATGATACGATGCGATTCACACCTCTAAAAATAAGTTCCTTTCTTGGGGGTTGTTGGATAGCGAATAGTCGTAAGATTTGTCGGTTTTATTGAACCAGCTCTCTCACAATCTTTTCTAGCGGTTATACCCTTGAAGTTTCCTTTTTTGGCAAGGTTAGGTTTTGCCGGTTATTTGGATGTGCCCCTGGTCGCTCATTATTTTGGGTTTAGTTACTGGCCAGGTCCTTCGATCTTGTGATTGCCATCTACTTTGGGAAATAGGGAATAGGCTTTGAATTATGAAAAAATCAGTATTTCTCACAGATGACTCTAACTGATGATGCCAAAAATGGTCACTGAGCTCCAGACACGTGATTGACCAGGATTGTGCTTTTATCTACCCTCCAATGCTTAAGTCACAAAATTAATTTCGAACAAGAACATTCAGCTGGGTTTAGTAGTGTGCACCTAGAATATTTTTATTTCTCCCTTTTTTGATATATTTGCTAGGAATTATGGTGAATAGAGTGTGGAGCCAGATTACATAGTACCAGTGGTGAATGGAGGTGGACTCTTTGATGTAGTAGCACTCTTAGCTGAGTTGAATTAGTCAAAGTTGTGAGCAATTAAGACTCTGCTAACTAAGTTGGGTGAGCTAGGAATTCGGCGAGCTGGAGCTCTTTTGTTCTGCCAAACTTGTAACAAAATTCCCAATTATCAAAGGTCATAATAAAGGTTGTAGCAAGCAAATTTACTAATGAAAAAAACAATCATTAATTTTTTTCCAAACAAGAAATGAATTATAACATTGTACAACTAATTAAAATAAGAGTAATACTACACTGATCAAATTTTAGGACCAAATTTGAAGCCCAAATGATATGACAACATATTATTTGGAGTCTTTATTGGGGCCTAAATGACATGACACAAAATAAAAAAGTTCAAGCCAGCTGTCATGTCATTTGAGCTCTAAATTTGATCTAAAAATTTGATCAATGTAACATTACTGTTAAAATAATGCATTTTTGGTAACACACGTAAACATTTAACATGCATTCCCTCATGCACTCATATACATAAGGGCCACACAATCATCACACGTGGACACAAAAGGCCAGGAGACATTCCAAATGTGTTTTTTGTGTGTCTAAGAGAGGGAGAGAGAAAGAGGAGCTAGGGACTATGGGTGTTCAAATTTTTGACTAGCCACAAGTTCCTAACCTATTCAACCCTATCCTACCCTACTAAACGGTTAGTCGTAAAAATCGGGTAGGAATATAAAAAAATTTTTGGTCTAGGAATGCGGAATAGTCATCTATTTTCACATTCCTACCTTATTCTACCCGCATTAATTTATATATTTATATATATATAAACTAAAAAAAAACTCTAATCGTCTACTGAGTCATTTCAACGTCTCACACCTCAATTTCCTACCCAATACTTTGAGGCTCAATCCATTTCTCCTCCTTCATCGTTCCAGACACCCAGCCCGATCCCCACCCAAGTACTCTCTCTCTCTCTCTCTCTCTTTCTACACAATTTGTTGCGGTCTAGTTTGGAAGGTCTAATCGCAGACCTTCATCTACAGTAACAGAGCTTCATCTGATCGCAGAGCTTCGTCACGAATCGTCTGGTCTGAGTCGTCTGATCATAGTTGTAGATCCTATATTGTAGATCAATTTATTTTTATCTTATGTTGCAGATCATGATGGCCTAGTCTTTTTTCCTATGTTGCAGATCAATGGGTTTTTATCTGTTTTTACTAGTTTCCTTTTTTGTTTGAATCCATGAAATCGTTTTCTTTTGATTTGTTATTCATGAGATCTTAGTTAATCATTATGTTTGATGAAATATCTGAACCATGTATTGTATCTAATAACGCGATGCTCGATGCGTTTGGGAAAAATGGGGACATGGGTTCTACTGTTCTGGCTGCTCGTGCTCGCGCCAAACTCCTGGAGTTTATTTGTTTAGTTTATTTGTTCATGGTGACCAAGATTTTTTGTTAGCTATGCAAGCCTTTATTCTAATATTTATTTCTTGGTTCAATTTATTATGATTTCTTGATTCAATTTACAGTTCTAACATATCATTTCTTGGTTCAATTTATAGTTCCAACATATGAATTCAATTTATTATGATTTCGTGGTTCAATTTATTCTGATTTCTTGGTTCAATTTACGGTTCCAACATACCATTTCTAGGTTCAATTTACAGTTCCAACATATCAGTTCAATTTATTCTGATTTCTTGGTTCAATATACAGTTCCAACATATCATTTCTTGGTTCAATTTACAGTTCCAAAATATCAGTTAAATTTATTCTGATTTCTTGGTTCTTATACAATCTCCATATTTTGTTTTTGTTCACATATCATTTCTTAGTGGATGAAATGACTCCATAATCATCTGCTTAAGCTGATTCTAACAGTAACATCCAAGCTACTGATGACATTCAGTGTGAGGGACAAGATTTTAAAAAAATGATCTAGGGTTTGGGAGCATTTTGAAAAGATTGAAGCTACAGATGAAGCTCAGTGTCAGCATTACGGTAACATTTACAATTAGCATGCAAGAAAAACAGGTACTTCATCCTTAAGGAGAAGGTGTTTACTGATTGCTTCTCTTTTCTATATAATATGGATGAACTATGGCATAATTGGATGTCGTTTACTCATAATCCAGGCCAGAATGGTTCCTCTATCAACCCGGGGAGGCTCTGCCTAACGCTATTTCCATTCATACAGACGTATGGTTTTCTTATCTTTGCCCTAGGGACTTCCATTATGGTTTGGGATAACCTAGGGTCCCAACGCTTATTGTGGAGTTGAAGTCTACATGCCTCAATAATTTGCTCGTCAGTTTGGTTTGGGGCAACAAATTTCTTATCCTTTTGCCCATACCCTCAATACAAACCTTACCAATTGGCCTAATTTGGTCGATACTAATATTCGGGAAGTTACCCATTGAAACTCCCTTGCCCATTGTTCATTCCACATGAACTCTTTCTCGGAGATGCTTGACGTCCTAGAGGTCTTCAAACTTTGGTGAAGGAGCTATGTGTCAAGGAAATTCAAGGATAACGAGGCGTCCGCTCCTCACTGGATAAACTTCCCCCTACGCATTCATTCGTCTCTAAGGGTAGGCTTAGTTCAGATTTATCCTTCACTTTCCATTTACCCTTGAGCATAACCCTACAATTTCTGTGGACTTGATCTCTTCAATCAATCCTCCTCCACATGGTTCTCGTCGTACAGAGAAAAAAGATGTTCTTCCAATGTTCCTTTTGAATGCATAGCCTAGTTTTGACTTGATGACGAACATAATACTGAAGATGATGCGCCCCTTATCTGTTGTGGTCACCAACGTGATAGAGCTTCTTCATATGCCTTTATTTCTACTGGCGCAGACCCTTTGTAGTAGGTAGTTTTTGGTAGCCTTGAGTCCCGCAGGCCAGCTAATGTAACTGTTTCTATGACCTACTCTATGGCCACTACAACCCCACTAGTGCCCACTTTTGATGATATGATCACCTACGTGGTGAATGTTGAAATTATAGAAGCCGATGCCAAAGACCCGGTCCTTCGGCAAGCACCCCTTGATCCTTCAGCGAGCCTTTGTACTTCCTCAACCACTGTATCAATCTAAGGTGCGGTTACAACTCGGACCGATACTCCAGCATCCAGTACTGTCCCTATAATAATTATAGACTTAAATTATGTTATGGATTCTTTGAGAGCTCTTCTATCTCTTGGCCCTATTTCCTTCAGAAGTTCAGAAGTAATCATGGATCGCTATTTTGAAGACCATTGTGAAATAACAATGCTAATTATTGACAACTATCCTAAAATTTTAGTACATAAAGCCAAAACTTCTAGAAGAATCAATTAGGATGTTTTTCGCTTCTCCACACATTGTTGAAGAATAATGCCAAGCCTTGACACGTTTAGCTGATGAGCTTTCAACCATTCTTTAGGAAGCCGGTTCATTATACCAGAAATGTTAAGATTGTTTGGCCATCATTCGTGATCAAAGAGAGCGACTGGTCAACTCGCATCAACATATCAAAAAAATTTTTGGCCATTCCTATTGCTTCGCCTATCTTCCTGAACAATTGGCAGAAATAAACTGTCAAATTTTTGAGTTATAAACTCATCGTGGGGCCCTATTGGAAGAGTCTACATCTTATAATGATCATTTGGAAGA